TGAAGTGTCGTAGGGCTATTTCACATGCTCTCACTACCAGAAATTGGCCTAGGCACACGTAAATTCCTGTCGATTCGGCTTTTCCTCATCATGAACTTCCAAGACGCCGCCCCCGTCAGCTTGTTAAGGGGTCTCTGTAAAGTGTATTTACAAGGTTTTTTGCTCCGGGAGTTACATAGGATAATGATTCATGATTGAGCATGCTCTACCCGTAACACTTGATCGCGGGAATTATTTTTGAGAACGCATCTTACAGAAAATACTGACCGTGAAGTCGTATGAGGATGCTATCATTATGCCGAGAGATGTGTAAAGAAATGGGGTTGACGTTATGAGTTCAGTTCTAAAGTATATTTTTTATAGGTTCATTGATATATCATGCTCAGGTGGATTACAGATGGTGAAACTCCGTCGTCTCTTCTCTAATACACAAGCTAAAAATGGTGCGTCAGATTTTCGCTACATAACCTGATGCTTCTCAATCAGTTCGTCAATTTAGATCCCACAATGGAGATGTATCGGTCGCTATCTTGTCTTTACTTGGAAAAGCGTAAGGCTGAGAGGTTACAGGTGATTGTAAAGAAGAACTTTTTTTCTTCTAGCCATCCGACGAGTACTGTTGTCCAAGAGAATTAATCGTTTCAGGAAGCGGGCGTTCCACTGCATACAGATGTGGTTGCCGAAATCACCCGCCGAGAAGCATCTCGCAGAATGGACCCCGCTCTGTGGCGTTTGGCCATGGCACAATCTAAAACAAAGCAATTCTTCGAAGAGGTCTCGTTATTCGATCACTGCTGTTTGGGTGTAGAGCGTTACTTCCCAGTCGTGGCATCGCAGTAGGAGTTAAGTTTGGAGATAGAGTTGACGGCGCCAGTGATGCCGCGGTTGGAGGTAATACTCGGCATCCGGCACTTCAGTTTGTTGAGTAGATCAAAAATTGGGGCAGTTTCGCGACGAGGGGGGAGGGCATTCCGCATTTTAGCTACTTCACATCGACGTGTCGACCCATCTATAAAACCTTTTTTCAGTTGAGAGGCTTTACCATAGTGGCTCACAAGTTGCACCAGAGTGGGACTTCTGAACCGGAGCTAGTGAAGCAGTGAAGGAGGAAAATGCACCCCCCTCCCCATCGTCGCCGAATTGCGCCCAAAGAGTTCTTTTTATTTCATCGGTTCTGAGATATGAGACGATACTTTTGATGCGAGGACTGATTATTTTTTCTTGTTTTCTAAGCCAAAACTTGCAGACTCATGTGTTGGCATCAGCTCAGTGTGGTTGGTCACGACACCTTCACATAGATTGCGTAGCGGCGGATACTTCTCGCAAAAAGTGTCAAGATATGATGTACGTTAAACTTATTATGATGCTTAGTTTTTTTTTGTAGTAAGCTGATTAATTGCTTTGTTTCAGACGTCTCATGGAAGAGCGAGGTGCACATGTATTCAATGACCTCGATTATATCGATGTCCTCAAAGTGAACATCTGACGGTTTCCGGTGAATCTGTACGGTTAGTAGGGTAAGTCCCACATGTCTTGAAGTTGTTCATTGCGACCATGCACAAAGTGTTCTAAATGAGATTCTCTTAGCTAGCAACATAAAAGTGCATTCCTACTTTGCAACAGCCTTTTGAGTGTCTGACAGCGTTTTGAGCGTTTCGGGCGTTCCAAGAGAAAGTAGGCTAGGGCATTTTGAGCGACTAAGAAGTACTTATCACTAGAACGCTATTGACGTTGGAAACGCTGCATCGATACCTACATTTTCCTAGTCGCTCAAAACGCTGACAGTCGCTCAAAACCTTGTAGCAAAGTATGAACGCACTCCAAGGATAAAGGATAGAGTTCTCTCCGTGCATCAGTCTCTCTCTGGGATGCACCACGCATTTTATCTCATACAGAGTATTAGTAGGGGTTGAACGATAGAGCCTATGCAGTAATTTATAGGTGCCAGACAATGTAATACATATGTAAAAATGTACATACCAGAGCCTCTTATCCTCTCAAGCCAGTCTGGTACCTCGCAGATATGAAATCTTGGTTGAGCCAGGTGAGAACCCATACCTCACCTGGTGGCACTGCCGTACAAGGCGTATGATGAAAAACATCGCTTGTCAGTACACCTCCTCCCGCAACGAATACCGCTCTTCGAATCTTATCAACAGCTCACAGTTCCTGTCACCCTCCAAAGATGTTCCTGTCCCATACCCTATATCATATCTTGGAATCAGCACCTACTTGATGCTGTCACCCGCGCTATGAATATGGTGGCCATCCCCTTCTAACGCCTCTTATCGAATCTTATCAACTGATATCACTTCCTGTCACCCACCAATAGTGTTCCCGTCACACCCCCTACATCACTTCTTGGAACCAATGTCTCACTGCTACTGGGACCGGCGCTATGAATTTCGTGACAAACAGACAGACGCACACACAGACACACTCACGCACGGACATAGCGGATTATATGTAGTAGGATGCTTAATGAAGAGATCCGAACTGTGTGTGACTAGCCCAAAAATTATGAAGTCATAACAGGAGAATTACTGCGTTTTACCCATCGGTCAAGTATGGATAAATATTGACAGACAATAACGCAAGCATTAGAACCACCCGTATCTAACTTTCAGGTTTGTTACATATAACGACTACCAGTGTCTGATTCCCGGTGGTGCTTACGCGACAAGTACCGTCTCTCAGGAAACGGGTCTGGTCGATTTGAGGCGGTCAACGTGACATGTAGTGACGTTTTGCTGAGTTTTCAGTGAAACTTATTCTTTCAGGATAGTACGCAAAGAATTTTTATGTTCTCTATTTGTACAATGTATCTCTCATAATAGTATTCATGGATCTGAATGATTTTTTTGGAGTACCTCTCGCCTCCATTTTATTGTGCAGTTGTTGTTTTATGTGATTTAAGTTTCTCCTTGTTCTTTGAGGAGGAAAGAATTCCTGCGAGATTGGATTTTCCTGGGTTCCATTTCATCGAGGGAGATTGATCGGGTTCCTTGCAATGTTTTTGTCTTTTGTTTGTCATCTTTTATTAGTTGTTTTTTCTTATTTTTAGTTTACTTGTTGCCATTGTATCTCCACATATTTTTATATATAAAATATATTCCTGAAAACCTGTTGCCTTATTTGTTACTCGTCGCGGTCCTAGTCCGAGTTTATTGGCCATTTCTCTAGATTCCTTTTTGCATTGCTAGTTGTTTTTTTTAGATGGCCTCGGGGTGTGACACCGCCTTAAATATAGGCGGAGTCACACAGGAATCATCGCAAGGCTTCAGCCTTCGCATGTTCAGGTAAAATTATTCTGCTCTTGCTATTATATGGACTTATCCAATTTCTTTTTTTTGTAGCAAGCCATCGATCGTGCTGGCTCATGTCGCTTTCAAAGGAGCTGCACTAGCCTACTATTTCTTTGCGAACTGGCTCTCTTCGTCCTTCATCGTTCAGTTCCTTATTATTGTAAGTTGACGTTCGCCTGGTAGTTCACTCCATTTGCCTTGTTCCTCTAAGCTCACTTTTAGCTGACGTTACTGTCCATGGACTTTTGGACGGTGAAGAACATTACTGGAAGGTTGCTGGTTGGTTTGCGATGGTGGAATTTTGTGGATGACAATGGTCATAATCACTGGAAATTTGAGAGCGCTAAGGTGAGGGTATTTTGATTGAATTTTTTTGGTTCTCAAGGCTTTTTGCTAGGAAGTCTTTGTCTTGTCATTTCCTACTACTATGCCTCTTCTAGGACCAGTCACGTTTTCCTGTGATGGATCGACGTGCCTTCTGGATTGGTCTAGTCTTAGGACCTTTGCTTTGGCTTTTCTTCGTCAGTATGGCGTTTTTCACATTTAAGGTTTGTTGGTTCTATCATTCACATTTGGAGGTGTGGTGGCAAGTGGCACGCTTACCACGCCCGAGGTCCAGAGGTCAAACCCCGGATCGGCTTCCACCTAGACCAACTAGGCTAGTACCACATCTGTTTGGGAAGATAAGAGCACTGACTTGCACACCGGCTGACTCCGCAAGTTACTGTAAAGGCCACATCGTAATTAGTAAAAATTCTAAATGGAATTAAAATGCCTCCAGCATTCTAAAAAAGGGGTTGGTGGATGGCATCTTTTTTAACGTTCATACTGAGTTGCCTATAACACCAACGGCAACACGAAAGGTGCAGTCTGAGGGCTCGCGTTGGACAACGCCCATGAACTGGTCCCTAAATAGTTGGCTCTTCAGCTTCAGTTCAGCTTCGAACAAATAAAGTCATAGTGACCCAGGTTCCAGAGAGACTTTCAAAACCTCATAGACGAACTGTACACTCACATACAAGCACGTTTTTCTATGTTCGTGGTGAATGGGTCAGCAGCTGCAGTAGCATGCCATCTTTCCGCTCAAAAGTGGACAGGATAGGAGCTGGAAGGTAGTGACACCTAGGTACCGTCCCCATATCCTCAAAATGCAGCTCTTGCGCCGGTAGTAAGATTCCGCTACGAAACAAGCACTCACTGTTAGAGAACAACCAGAAGCAGGAGGGGCAGACACGCAAAGTGTTCTGGCGGAGTACGGAGGTGGCACCGAGGTATCACTTTCCCTTACCCCGTCCTCGGCATTTGACCGGACAAAGTGGCACGCTGCTGCAGTCGCAAACCCATTCCCACTATACATGAGAAAGACTAAAAGTTCCGCAGCT